GAGTTTTCGACCTGTTGGGTTTACAGGAACTGGGGAGGAAACAGGAGTTCACCCTGCTAACGCGAAGGCTGGACTCGAATCGCTGAAGCGTCGACCTTTTCTGGCCTGCAACTTTCAGCGTCATTAAGCCGCTGCGCCACCGCGTCCCCCGACAGCTCATTTATCCATTGCTAAATTGTGGGTGAACATGGTCTTATTATAAACAGACCTGGATTTACCAACTGAAGCCCAAGCCCAAGCCCTCTAGCAGTGCAGCATCTTGGACTCAGGAGCGTGGCAGACAGAAGGGGAGACTGGCACCATATTGCCCATGTGCCTTCTCCCTGGAATGGCATGGACAAGGATTCTACTATACCTCTCCCAACCCATCAGATCAAAATGCCTCCGCCCTCTGAATCTCCTCCCCCAGGGTAGCCCCACTAAGCAGAACAGACTAGAAAATCACCTCAACAGGTAGTCTAAAACTACTTTTATTGTGATTGTGTGTAATAACAGAATCCTGCAAGTGGGATTGTGCTGGATCTCCTCCTCCTCCTCCTCCTTATAGTTCAGTGGATTAGGGAGGCCTCTGCCTGAGTTGCTTCCAAATGTTATCTCGTGCTTCTGGATTTTAAAAATGCTTCAGCCCTTTTGCCTAGGCAACAGAGTCTGTATATCTCCGTCAAGGTCATCTTTCTTACTCTCTACACCTGCCTCAGTGTCCTCCCCACCATCCCACAGATCAACAAGAAACATCAGAAATTCCCACCAAAGGACCTTCATCACACATCTCCCTCTACCCAATCACCCGTCTTGGTGGGCCAGCTATCTGGCAATGCCACAGAGTGACAGCACATACCACCTCTCTCAAGACTTCCTCTTTTACCTTTCCCTCTGATAGGATGCCCCGCGGGACCCCACTCTCTCTGTACAAGTTAGGGTAGATGGACACTCTTCATTTTCTCATTCTCTCACTTTGGGGAGGCCAGCCACTGCCACTCCCCATCTCTTACAGGGCACAACGCTCCTGCAGGATAACACCACAGGACTGATGGCAAGGGTCCACCTCCTTCTCTGTAATCAGAATCTTTCTGGCTTGCTCAGTACCAAGCAGGTTCCCCAAATTTCCATTCTTTTCCTCTGCCTCTTTCCTTCCTCCATCCAGTGCTTTATGTTCTCCATTTGATTCTTCCACCATTATTCTAGCCTTTCTTTCCAGCCTCCCCCCTCCCCCCCTCCCTTCTCCTTCTGACTGCAACAGCCACAGCTGCCCTGCCTCTGAGCTAAGGACCCTAATCTCTGACTGGTGCACAGCTTCAGAGCCCACAAAGTAACAGTCCCTTTGGCAGCCACAGCAACCCATCCACACAAGAGCAGTCACTCAATACCTCCTAAAGCCACAGACCCCAGGTAACGTGTCACCAATCAAGTGTCAGCAAAACAAGTTGACCTGACTGAGGCTGGAGGGTCAAAAAAGCCATTCCTCCCAATTCATTGGCATTAGCCACCATATTTATCCTACAATTATGAGGTGACAGAATCCTAGGGTGGGAAGGGACCTCTAGCCCAACCCCCTGCCCCAGGCAGGAATCCTCAGACCATCCTGGACAAAGGGCTGTCCAATCTTGGCTTGAAAACCTCCAGGGATGGAGCACCCACAATCTCAGGGGCCAGGCTGTTCCACTGCTTAACAGCTGCCATGCTCAGGAACTGGCTCCTTATTGCAAGTCTGGGTCTCCCTCTGCAAAGCTTCCACCGGTCGGCTCCTGTCCTGCCCTCGGGAGCTTTGCAGAATAAATCTACCCCCTCTGCCCTGGAAGACTGCATTCAGGCGCCTTCTCATCTTTAGGCTACACGGACCCAGGCCCTCCAACTGCTCTTTGTGGGATTTGGCCCCAAGCCCCTCACCCTCCAGGGGCTCCTCTCGGCACCCCTCCAGTTCCTCCGCGTCCTTTCTGCAGGGCGGTGGCCAGAACTGGGCACGGGGCTCCAGGCGCGTCTGACCAGAGCGGAACAGCCGCTTCCCGGGGTCCTGACGCTCCCCCCCCTGTCGACGCAGCCCAAACTGCACTGGTTCTTTTGGCAGCAGTGGCACATTGCTGGCTCATGCTGAATCTCTGGTTTAACAAGACCACCAGATCCTTCTCGGAAGTACTATGCTAAGCCAGCAACCGCCTGCCTTGTACCTGCGCATCTGGTTTTTTCTGCCTAAGTGCAGAACTTGACATTTCTCTCCACTGAACAACACGTTGTTGGACAGGGACCATCGTTCAAGACCGCCAACATCCTTTGGAGCCCTGATCCTGTCTTCTGGGGTGTTAGCGATCCCCTTGCAGCTTTATGTCATCCACAAATTTTATTACCATCCCTTCTACTCCTTCATCTAGGTCAAAGTCTGTACCTGTTGGAGATTCCTATGCAATGAGAGTGTGGTTTGGGGTTAGAAAGAAGCTGGGGGAAGCTGGGCCTTGCCCCCAAACTGCAGGAATGCCCATTCTGAGGGGTGTGGGGGCTTCTCAGTTTGCACCTCCTGTGCCAGTTCCTTCCCTTTCTGCAATGTTTCAAATAGCCACCCTTAGAGTAGACATGAGAGAGTCCTCTCTCCACTGCAGAAGTCATTAAACTTAATTAAAACATTTAATCTCACTTTGCCATTTAAAGAGCAGCTTAATGCCCGGGGCTGCGCCAGCAGGCAGGTTATAACTGCTCCAGAAGCTCCTTGGCTGGATTCTCCCTCATTGGCCATGCTGAGAGGGTCCCCAGAATTTCTTGGTTGTTTTTAAATAACATTTATTGCATTATTACTTAGAAATGAAAGCTACTGCAGGAAGACTGTTATCCTGATGGGCAGGATATAAACAATTCTAGCCAATAAAGGCATCAAATCTGAGGCTGCAGAAAGTGCTGCAGTATCAGGAGAGAGACCCAGCCCACCCTTACTGCTCAGCCTGCATTCTCACTGCACTTAACCCTCATCCTGGGGACAGGGAACATCCCACGTCAGTACTGAAAGATCTGCACTGGCTGCCAGTTACTGACAAGGCACAATTTAAGATGCTGTCTTTAAAGCCCTAAGCAGCTGACTTTGGTGAGGTGACCTCTTCATCCAGTTGCAACTAGTCCAGTTGTTAGGATCAGCAGGAGGGCCTAATCCTTCTGAGTTCCCCAAGAGCATCAACAAGCGGGGGGGGGGCAGAGTGACCTGTTAATCCAAGTAGATTTCTGACAAGCCCCTCACCAAAACCTCCGTGCCTGTTTCACAGAGATAGGCTTCTGAGAGCAGTTTCACTGGGCATGAGAAGTGCCCCTGGGCCGCTCTTTGCTGAAATTCAGGATCCGGAGGATCCAGACTGTATGCTGCAGAAACTGTCTCCTGTTCCCAGCTCTCTAAACAGCCCTCCAAACAATCGGTCCGTTTAACAACAGCAGCAAGCACAAAAACAAACGCTGGGCACAAACGCTTTCCCAAAGAAGGAAGGATCCACTTCCCTGGGGTGGAGAGCGAATGGCAGCTGCTCTGCAGGAGAACTCACCGCAGCTGGGAGTGGAGCTTAGTCGCTTTCGAGTTGAAATCTTCCCAGACGGGGTAGGAACTCTGGAACACAAGTGGGGTGGGGGGAGAGAGAAAGAGGTTGAGCGTTGCCAGCCCGAAGGTCTCCTCCTTTGCTGGGAAGCAGCCAAGAGCCACCAGGCAGTGGTGGCCCCTTTCCCTGCAGCAGGAGCCTACCCCTTCCGAGTCCGGAGCCCCCCTCAGCTCTGTGCTCCTCCTCCGAGAAGAAAACCTGGCCTGCCTGAGCCCTGCTCAGGGCAGGCAGGTTGCACCATGTTGGTCCCTCTGGCCATGCCAGGTGTGGCCTGATCAGGGTGCAAGATAAGGCGTACCCACCAACCCTCCCCAGTACCCTTAGCGGCTCCTTTTCTCCCTTTTTGACAGAGGGCGATGCACAACGTTAACCACCATTTATTAACGGTCTCCTCGTATTTCGAAGATGGCTCTACCCCAGGCTTCTGCTAAATCCAAACTCCCCCAACATGGTGCTTGTGGCAATTCTTGGTTTGGTATCCCTTGGCTTCCATGTCTATTTATTAACTATTATTAAGATGTTTTAAATCAAGAATCCAAATAAACAGAAAGCTAGGATGCTGCAACGGAAAGTGAGGGGGGGACTGCCTGAAAAGCCCACCTGCCAAGAAGACACTCTAGTGGAATGCGGGCAAGGCTGCCTGACTGGAGCAGCAGCACCACAATGAAACCCACAAAGTGGTGGATGGGCAGAGCTGCCTGGGCCATTCCCTGCCCCGAGCCCCCAAAGTCGCCGCCCACTCTCGCTCAGACACAGCTGTGAGGGCGTCGCGTCAAAGGCTGAGGCTTGTTCACAGAAGACGTTACAGGGAGCAGTTTCACCTGGCCGTTAGGGAAATGCACTGAGGACTCCTGCTCTGTGAGGGACGGAGTAAACCAGACCGCTCTTGTTCAAGCGGATCTGTTTGGTGGTCTCCGTTGCAATGAAGCTCTTCCCCTCTCGCAGTGGGGGGGGGGGAGTTCCTCTGCTGCCAAGGGAAAAGAGCTTCTCCCTTCCATTTACTCCCTTGCGCTGACTTCCAAAACCAGATTCCTCCTACCTGGTTCCACCAGGCCTCATTTCATTTTAGCAGGGCAATGGGGAGAAGCCAAGAGAAGGCTGGTCAAACCCCACATGTGGTTCTAAAAGTGCTGAATGACGATGCCAGCCTTCCCCCTGTCCAGCTACCCAAAGTGTTGCCTTTAGGCTTGGGAGCCCCACTGGTTCATGCAGAGCCAGGATCAGGTGAAGCAGAGATCAGATTTTCTTTTAAGTCTCTGGGCCAAGAATGGTTAGTGCTGTTCAAAAATTAAGCAGGCACAAGGTCTCACCCTTTCCAAGTGCAGACATGACACAAACCAGGCTATGTGGCTCTAAATCCTAGGGCCTAACTACTAGGGCCACTGTCCCTGGAAGCCTAATGGGGCTGAACAACACCTCTCAGCGGGCTTCCAGAGGAGAGCCGCGGTGAGGAGGACCAGCTGGAAGCAACAGGTGTGCTTAGTCTGCAGAAGAGAAGGCTGCGGTGGGGAAACAGGGCTGCTGCCTTCAAGTGTGTGAAGGGGGCTGAGCAGAAGATGGGACAGAACCCTTCAGAGGGGCTCCAGAAAACAGGGGAAGAAACAACAGGGTTAGGTTACAAGGAAGCAGGATATGCGGTTGGATATCAGGAAAACTTTCCTTATGGTAAAAAGTGTTTCTCAGAGGCTGGAGGGCCATCCATCAGCCAGAAATGTCATAACAGCAGATTTTACACTGGCAGGGGATCTCCGTGGTCATTCCATTCTATGATTCTAGGACTGGGTGGAACTGCTGGTATCACATAAGTGCCCAGGGCCCCCCAAAAGACTGTGTCCAGGGCAAATGCCACCTCAGAAACAGCCCTGCAAGGAAGGCCAGCATGGAAGTCCTCTTGAGCCTTGGCCCACACAGCCTGGAGAACAGCAGTTTTCCCAGAAGGGCTGACTGGCTTCAGGGAAGCAGACTTCCTGCAGAAGAATCCCAGGCCACTGTAAATATATTATGGAAATCCTGTCCTTGTGTGCCCTGCACTTGGCCAATGTTGGAAAGACAACCCAGCAGCAGGAGGGCTGCTTCTGAGCCCTCGCCAAAGCATATCATCCTCTCAGGGGAGCTGCAGATCCCCCCAGATTAGTCAGCAAAGATTCTCCCCAGTCCAAAGGGCCATACAACTGACACACATGCAGGGACTTCTGTTTCCCAACGCCTTGCTTTGCAGACTCTGCCCACGGGCTGCCCCACGCTCAGGCTTTCAAAGGCAGAGCTGTCCCACCCACAAAGGCTTCTGTTTCTCTTCCAAGGATGAGACCAACCAGCAACAGAAGGCCGTTCATTACCCTCCTCCTCCAATCTTCCCTGGGATTGAGAAATGCTGCTCCTGGCATGGAAGAGAGTCCTACCTCCAGAGAATAGTGGAGGAAAGATCCCAGAGCCATCATCTTAGCAAATCAGTTGTTTGACAAAGAACCCCTTGACTTTTGGAGAAGCCACCCAGTTAAATATAGGCTGGATGGCACAACAATTACGTGGATCCATAGCTGGCTCAAAAATCATTCTTGAAGAGTAGTGGAGAGAGGTTGAGGGCCCTGGGCACTTTACAAGATACTTCTCTATGGAAGTCTGCTATGCACTGGGGCTTGCCCCCCATGGCCACTTCCAGCTCTCCCTCCTTGCCACCAGGCATTCCATCTCCTCTACCCAAAGCTTTCTTTCTACTATTTGAATTAATAATTCTGTATATGCTGCAATCTTTGCATTTCTGGCAGGCTGTTACGTTAAGAAAGAGCAATAAGCTTTTTTTGAGGAAATGTGCATGTTGAAATACAGAGAAGAGTTCAACCGAGAGCTATCTGTATTGCATATGGATTTGTGCTTGCTTGGTTCCCATAAATAACACCTTGGAGCTGAATCTGATTGAAGCAGAATATATGTCACATCAATCAGTCAATCAGAGTGCCATGTACAGTCAGGACCAGAAATATTGGAATAAGGATAACTGTCTTGGCATTTGGCCTCCATACACCACCACACTGAAGTTGAAAGGAAACACACC